AACATAGTCTTAACTCGAGTTAACTCGAGTCAAGACTATGTTATTTAAGCTACGAGTTGACTCGAGTCCAGTCTCTATTATCGATTATAATCGATATATATAGAAAGATTATAATCAATTGATATAGATTTAAATTGATATAGATTTATTATCGTTATCGTTATTATCAATTTTGATATGAAACACACCGTCGATTATAATTGCTTGAAGCCAATCGATTATCGTTATAATCAATTAATTGTTTGCAACCGATCATAATCAGGCTTCAAAATTTCCTGATGTATACTTCCGATATATTTTAATGATTAAATCGTTAAAAATTATTTTTAATTTTTAATTTTAGAGTCCATCACTAACTGTATCATAGTTATTTCATATATATATCAAAAAAACTTTTAAATTCTAAGTTGTTATTATCTATAAAAAACTTAGTTTACCCCACACTTCTGATTGGTTCTACTAATTATTCACATATCGATATCGAGTGTCTATATTATTAAGTGAAGTGTGGGGGAATTAGTAAACTCAAATAATATTAAATAACCATATGTTAAGTAGGGTCGGTCTCGGTCTCTAATAAAACCGTTCCCAATAGTATCTAGTTGTGGTCTCACAAACTATTTTCATGTGATGATCAATTTTAGTTATCATCTAAATAAAATTCATGCAATAATAAACATTGATTTCAACCGATTATTATCGTCGACAGTATTAATATTTAAATCAAAATTGATTATAATCAAAATACTCATATAGTCATCAGGAAATGGTGGATATCGATTACTAGCTACAGAAAAATTGATGATAATCGATATTGATTACTAATCGATATAAAATCGATTAAAAAATAATCGATTTTAATTCATTTTTGCTAATCAATTTTCAAACAAGCGATACTAATCAATATTAATCAATTTTAATCAGCAACAATCGATGCTAATCTGTATCGTTAGCAATCAACAGGGGTGCTGCTTATCGATTGACATTTCTATCTTCAATCCAATTTAAAAATTTCCTGATATTGAAGTAAGTCTAATTTAGTGGGTTGAAGATTGGGTCAACCCAACCCAAACCAACCCAACTCAACCCACTAACCTTACATAACGGTTCAAGTTCCAACGTCCGAATCACAGTGATCACTATTATGTTTCTGGTCCCGTTGACGTCCCGATCGATTTCCAGGTCGCAACCTTTACATTTGAATATCCTCAAGCCGCCTAATTTGTAATTTAATACATCACATCGTCCACATGTCTTTGATGTATACTTTTAATACAAAAATTTTTATAATAAATCTCATTAAGAAAATATTTTCTGCAATAGAAATGGCTCAAACTACCCTGGAAATCAAAAATAAGATTTTGTAAGATTCGTCGAAATTATTAACCAATAAAATCACCAAATTTCTGGATAAATCCAAACACAATAAACCTGTTATTCTTAAATCATATCAGCTAGCGACCAATCAGAGCGCAGTTCCATTACTGCGATTTTATTGATAACTATAAAAAGTCTGGCTTGATTAGGAATTTAATATTTGCATATCTGCATCCTAAATTTAGTATATAACTAAAAATATACGTTTTTATTTAAAGTTTTTTTTTATTACGCGTATTTACATAAAAATAATTTAAGGGAAAATTTTTTGGTTTTTTCCGCTTTTTTTTTTTAGGGTTGGGAGTTTGGACGTGAATTTATAATTAAAGTGTATATTTCAGATCATTCGCGACAATTACTGTTATATATCCATGTAAACCCAATTCCACAAATCTGCCGATATGGTCAAGCCTATTCCGTTATATAGATATAAAGAATATGCTGTATAACGGAACTTTTAGGCCAGCCAGATTTCCATAGTTGACTGTATATGAATTATTATTATATATATAACTATTAATTACTATATATATATATTAATTTTTTCATTATTAACTAAAACTCGAAGGTCCCATCACTAAATCCATCGACAATATTTAGAAGAGTCAGTTAAAGATATTCTTATCAATGTGATCTTTAGGACCAAATAGTTTGTCTTTCGTGAGCCTGGGTATAATAAATCTTTGAATCTAGTTCTAATTTGTGCACAATAACAATGATGCAGCAGATTGCTACCTAAATTGAACAAGTCATGTGCTAGTATATCAGTGGCACAATGTGCAATCGTTATAAACAATTTTTTTTAGGAGTTTTGTTCACGCTAGTCAGTAGCCATGGAAACTCAAGAAATATCACATAAGAATAATGACGACAATAAAGTTGAAGAAGAAATACCACATAATGATAATAATGACAATAAAGTTGAAGAAGTAAATGATACTAATGAGGATGCTAAAATAGTTGATGAAAATAGCAATAAAAGCATAACTGAGGATACTGGAGGAGAAGCTGTTGAGGACCAAACTAATGCGGTAGAAGGAACAGGATCCGTTACTGTTGTACCACCCGCTAAGAAAAAAAAAAAGAAAAAAAAGAAGAAACTTTTAAATGAATCAGATGATGACGAAGTTTATGATCCGTATGTTAAGGAATTCATTTTCTAATAAATAAATGCTTTAAGTAATTTAAACAATTATCGTATAACTTTTAGTTCGACGCCAGTTAAATATCGTGTTGAACGTGCTGTACAAAAATACAAAGCCACCAGAATGTTTGATGGTACATCTAACCAGATTTTAAGTTCTTACTTTCATTTTGGTGGCATTGCTGAAGATACAACACTATGCGCTTCGGAAGATGATCCAATGATACCTGATGACATGGAGGTAGATTTTACATATAACGTCAAAGTTTATCTGTCAAGCTACATTATGAATGAAACTGGATACGTGAAAGAAGACGCATTTCGAGAAGCACCCATAGTTATCGAATCATTCTTGAATTATTTGGTCAGAAGACAAGTATGTCCCGAGTACTTGGAGGATATACAACAAGCAATAAAAGTTGCTCAATTAGCTAAGGATGAGCTTTTGAATTGTAAATTGTTGACACAGGATGCCCCTGGAAAGTTCAATAAATCATGTTCATTACTATTTGGTGGTGAGCTATATGGAAGGTTTGATAATCCTTACCCCAGCGAAGAAAGCATGGCTTTATTATTTGGAATTCATCCAGAAGAAGCAGAACAAATTGTGAAAAAAATTTTCGGTGACAATGCTTTAAATGAGTTAACAGAGGTGAAGCAAGCCAGAAAATTAGGATTAACTGTCGAAATTATCAAAGTCAATGAACTACCAGAGTCAGCAACAAATGATACAGAGGATGATACAACATCGGAAAATGAAGATGATTGGTTACGTTCTTATTTTATTCGTGAATTTGAAGTTTGTGAATTTGAATCTCCTGATGCAGAACCATTTACTATCGCTGTTGGTCCAGATCTTGCACCCTATACAATGGTCGGGATGTCTATTCATGCCGACTTTCATCAATTGTCGAATGGTTTTTGGTATTGGGATAATACTATATATGTATATCCCTCTTATTACACAAAACCAGAGCCAGAAGGATCTGATTCTGACGAATGAAAAAATAATAGTTCTTCATTACTAATTAATAACTAAAAAAAAAACTTTTTTTGTTAAATGTCCCGAGGATATCCTTTTAACTAGTTATATCAATGTAGTATAATATATACTTTCGTTTAAATTTCATTACGTAAATTAATTGTAATTTATGAATAAAGACAAGATCTCTTACTTATTAGTGGATATTAACTATTTTGCACGTATAGGTTGAAATTGGACTAATTACATTTTTTAATAATCAGAATTAATGAATTTAATAATACAATCGCAAATATATATATATTTTTTTTTCATGAACAAGAAACACTTATTGAAAGAAATACAACAGTACAAGATGTGAATAACAATAGAATTTAACGACACACTGCATCGTCACCTCCCGTAACAAATCTCATAATCAACCTAACAACAGATTTTGAAAGTCCTTTAAAGGTTATACCATCATCTTCGTCATCATCATCATCGTCTTTGTCATCATCATCGTCATTATCCTTATCATCGTCGTCGTCATCATTATCATCCATTGATTTAAACTTATTATCTTTATCAATCTTATCCAGGTCAACAAAAACATACACATGTTTTCCCAATGCAGCATTCAAAAACCAATCATCAGGTAAATGAGGAAGCCATCCATGTTTTTTACAAAGTTCACTATCAGAATATGGACCATGACCAGAGTTAGTGCCACGAAGTTTACATATAATACGATTACGACATTGCGTATCAAGTGCCGAACATGATCCATATTTGTCGAGATGATGATTTCGAGAAGCTGTTTTTTTAAAAGTTTTATAAGCATTTGTATCAATAATGAATTTTTCTGTGAGATCTATTCAAAGAAATACAAAATTGATATTAGAAACAACAAAATATTCTAATAAATATATACATAGTAATTAATATATACCATGCCAACTCTTTGGTTCCAGATTTTCAAGTCCGTATAATGATTTTGCATCATATAACAATTTCCATTCTGGCTTATCAAGACGATTCGCTTCTTGAAGATCCATTGAATAAGTATAATGGTTAAGGATTTTTTTTGTCACTTTATCAATTTCATACACTCTATAAACAATACAAATTATTAAATTATCAATTTCAATTATGCTGTTATGTATATTGGTACTGTAAATATATATATATTATTTATAACATTATAAAAGTTTCACCTGAAGGCAGGATTCATGTTTTTAAAAGATGTAACGCTTGGAGCTATATATGCAATACCAACGGCCTCTGGATCCTTCGAAGGATCATTGATTGATTTATCGTAGATAACATTGAATTCGTCCCAATGAGAGTGACCTAATAAAGCATAGTATAAATACATAAGAATATTTAAATTTTGCGAATATTAATTTTTTAAAAAAAAAACTAAGCATCTTTACAGCTTTAATGATTAGTTACCATAAAATTGACCAACAATTGTATCTTTGTACCTAGCAACAATTTGAGAAAAATAAACTCCTATAGATGGAAAGGAATCTTGGTCTAAAGCAGACATGTGCTAAATTTATAAATAGAAGAAAAATTGATGTAAATTTATCTAGAATTGAATACTTTAAAAATATATATACATATATATATATATGTATGTTTTTTTTTAAAAAAAAATAAAAAAAGTTTGCATACACCCAATATCCAGACTTTTTCACCAAGTTTTTCTGCTTCATCCAGTTGGTTAACAACCCATTTTAACATCCATTCAGGATCCCATTCTTCTCTTGGTCTCATAAGAAGCCAAAGATTTAATTTATAGAAATAATTTGTATTAATACCTAAAACTCGTAATTTGTATTTAGCCAATTTTGCAGAATAAAATCCATTTTTTTCAATTGATTCAAGAACATCATCAGAAAGCCAATCATTCCATTGTGATGACAATGTGCTATACAACCAAGATACAGATGCTATATCACTTATAGAAGATGTTGGAAAAGAGTTGACTGGTGCAGATTCATGATTTCCAATAACGGGGAAAAACGGGGCAGAAGTGAAAAATTTACGCCAAATGTTTGCAGTTTTATTGTTATTATCCGTTATGGTTGATGAAGTTTCAGCCCAGACATCTATAAATGTGAATAAATACTAAAGTTATTAAAGTAAAAATAGTTTGAAATTAAAATATAGATCAAGTACAGTGTAGATAACCCCTACTCTAAAACAATTGATTAGTAATTTATTTTATTAATGGGATTGGCTATATTATACTTGATCCTAAAAATATTTTTATATTTTTACCATGTGGTGGAAGATCACTAAAATCACATTTAACATTGAAAAATGAAAAACATGTCAAAATTACATTCTTTATAACCAGTAAAGCAAAAGTAATTAATAATAATAATGGTAATACCCAGTAGATATGATGAAATCCACTTTTGGCACAGCAGTTGGTAAAAATTCTAACATGCTTTCAATTAACCTCTTTGGGGCATCTAAATAATAGTGTAAATGAAAATACATAACATACAGTATAAAATATAAAAATTTATTTAAACAAAGGCATACCACAATTATAGTCTCCCCATTTACCAGCAGGAGTGGTGGCTTTATCACCAAAAGCCTAAATATGATCTAATTAAAAACGTTTGTCGTATAATTGATCAAAAAAAAAACGGATATAGTTTTTTACATTTGGTGCACGACAACAGACTGGTTCTCCACAATTCACTTCATAGCCTTCAGCATATTCTGAATCATAATGCCAATCACTCAAATGAACAACCCAAATTTTTTGATCATCATCGTCATTTTGTTGTTCGGAAACTGTAATATGATTCTTAGTGGTTGGTGCAGGTAAATCAATAATCTCTGGTTTTTCTGGTGTATCTGGTTTTGGGCATAAATGAGCCTTTGTACATAAGTTTTCCGCAGAGAATACAGAATGTGCAAGGACTGTTATGACCCAAGGAGCAAATTTGGGTATGATCTCGGAACACTGATAAAATATTTATTGGATAAAAATGTACAATCGTAAACCAATACATAATAAACTCAATAGTATAAGCATGAAATTGAAAACAATTTCATGTGTTTACCACACGTTGGGTTTGAAGTCTCAACAATGAACATATGAGAATGCCTTCTTGAATGGTAATCTCTTGAGTAGCATTTAGCATTAAGAAATCTTTAATATGACGTGCAATAGAATGACACACTTCACATCTAATGCGGGTGGTCTGGTAAGGCACGTGATTTATACGGAATTAGCGAAATCAGATAAAAGCGGGCGTAAAGACCAAGGCATTGCATGAACAAACCTGTAACACATCACCATGATCAGTGAATAGTTTAACAATAGGTAAAATCTCTTCAGAAAATTCATTGTCTAACTCTTCCAAACTTTTCCTGTCATGATAAACTGATTGTTGAGAGGCCGTCAAAGGCCTTGAAAAATGGATCTGTTTGCCAAAATTGACACGAATAGACAATACTAGTAAAGCATCAAGCACAACCAAAAGCCCCAACCAAAAGATTAAGACTGTAGTCTGCCGACGATAAACCATGACTAGTTTGTCTTAGACAAAGTAGAAAGTATTCTTTGTAAATTCGTTAATCTGGGAGAGAAACTTGATCTACACCTGCAGAATAGAACTTAAATAGGTAACGTTGTATATTGTTAGGACAGTGACAAATATTACGTAATATCTTCTTAAATATCTTATGTTAAATATAAATTTATAACTAACCAATCAAATTTATCTTATCGTTATGTGGGGGGAGGAAGGTATAGTAAAAATATTACGTAATATTTGTCACTACCTTTACGATACTATTTGGGATTATATGACAAAGTTATTTTGACAATAAGAATACTATGTGATACTAATTGTCGCATGGTTTGAGTCATCCGGGCCTAGCGCTAGTATCAGCATCAGTAACATAACGTGAAAGGCAATTTTCTTTATCGTGTAACAGAAAAATCTATATGTTTTGAGCCATTACGATTGGGGTAATTTATTATATTTTATCCATACCATAATAGTTAACTTATGAGAAATTTCACGTGTACATAAACGATCACATGATTATTAGTGGAAATCTGTCGTGTAACTGGCGCAGCTGAGTTCTATTTATTGCCGTATTGAGCATAGCATATCTTTTCTTTTTCAAAAAGACTTTAGCCTTCAACTGATGCTATCCCAATTTACGTAAGTACAATTATCCGCTGCCTATTAATCAGCTTGTTGGTCTGCGCAAACAAATCGATCATCGGATATCATCATCCTATTTACCGTTTAATACGCGAACGCATGAACTGTAGTGTAAACAAGTCAAATCTTGTACGTTGACAAGTGAGAGGAAATCCGATTAAAGTTTCTTATATTATCAATTATATTTAAATAGTATCTTTATTACTTTCCATATTTGGGGGTCGTCTAAAGCCGTGTCAATCACGTGACCTAAAGCCAATAGAATTGTTTATTTTGATCGACACGGATCAGC